ACCAGTCCACTCTCAGTTTTCGTGTCATAGGGCTGTAACAGAATGGCTCAGGCCCAGGCCTAGTCTTCTCTTTCCCCCAGCAACTCGCTTATCCTTGCCTGGCTCTCTGACTCTGCCCTGTGTTAGAGTCAGCCATCTTGCTTAAAATGGAAGTGAGGTGCCTGGCTTCTGGCCACCGTAAAGTTCCCCTGGATGGTGAGTCTTCTGGACTCTGCCTGATGATGGCTGGCAGTAGCAGCTTACACAGTTTGGCCCATGGCCCCCTGTTCCAATTCCTCTTGGGTGAATGCCACTCAGTCCTTGTGATTTACCTGCATTGACTTGTCAGCTCAGTCTAGAACATCCTGTATGTTCACCAGTATGATCAGCTGCCTCTGCCTGGGTGCCTGCTTCTGGTGGTATCTATACACAGTAGGGCAAAGAAAGGCTTCTGCTTCTCTTGTCTCTTACTTCCCTGGGCCTGAGATGACATTTTTCCTGAACCCTCGTAGGGTGTTTTTAATCTGGTTTCCCTGAAAAAAACACAACAAACCCACAAATGTATTTCCTACTTAAGGCAGCCAGAGGACCAGCTTGGGCCCCAACACCCAGCCTCTGCGCACCTGGGCACTGATTTGTGATAGGCTACAGTGTGTACATTCCTGCTGAAGCATCACGTTCAATATCCACACAATGGTGGCAAAGGCTGCTGGGATTGAGAAAAGTTAGGTGTTCCTGAGCTGCTACCTGGTCCTATTCCTGTGAGCCTCTTGCTTCTTTTTAGCCCTCACAGGGCTGCTTGTGCACAGAGCTTCCGGCCAAGTGGTGGATGCAGTGTGGTCGGGCAGAAAGTAGTGCGGTGGGTGGGAGTCAGGCCAGGCCAGCACACTAGATCTGGGGTCCCCAACCCCTGGGCCAGAGACCAATACTGGTCTGAGGTCTGTTAGGAACCAGGTTACACAGCAGGAAGTGAGTGGCGATGGAGTGAAGCTTCCTTCTGCTCCTCAGCACTCACCTTACAGCCTGAGCTCCACTCCCCACCCTGCCCCCACCCCAGCCAAATCTGTGGAAAAATGGTCTTCCAAGAAACCGGTCCCTGGTGCCAGAAAGGTTAGGGATCGCTCACTAGACAGAGTTGAAAGTGACTGAATGCCATACACTGGAGTGCCACACAGAACTGTTCGCTGCCAAATGTTTTTGCCCATTTCCTATCTGTGAGCAAACAATGCCCTAGATTTCACGACATCTCAATGTTTAACAGCAAATTGACAGGGTAGGATCTTGTCAACAGTTCTCTGAAAATCTATGTAACCTTCCTAGTTAGGTGAGCTACTTAAACTCTTTGAACATAGGTCTCCTTGTCTGTGAGACTGGTGGATGTCATGGCGAGTGGGCAGCTGGATCTACCCAAGCTGCTTTGGGCCCAGGCCTGCAATTTGTGTTATAGAGATCACAGCCTCAAGCTGATGCAAAACCTGTAGCACACTGACATGCAGTTATAGAAGACCTAGGGTGACGGGGATGGGGGCGTGTGGTCCAGGGCACCGAGAAGAGGCGGCATATTCTGACAGGAGATCGGGATCCCCTTCCTTCGTTGCCCCTCTACCATGGAGGCCTTGGTCTTTCCTCCAGCTCCATGTGGCACTGGTTGCAAAAAGACACCTGGCAGGTAGGAACTGTTCAAGCTGATATGAAGAACAGAGGGGGAAAAAGCTTTATTTGCAAAGAATAAACCATTAATTTACACAAACTTACATCCCAGTTTATATACATTATGTATAGCCTATATACACAGTATCTCACACTGGATGCTGACCCCCAAAGCAGCACTGGCCTGCTCCAGGCCATTCTCACAACACAGCCCACCCCCCACCCCAGCCGGAAGCTTTTTAAATAAAGAAATGACACACCGCAACTCCCCTTGGAGAGTGCCCTGACACAGATTTAAACAAACAAAAAAATCCGGTCCCTTCTTTGTGCGCACATGGCCCAGGGGAGCCTCCAGGCAGGAACAGGACCTGAGGCAGCGCCATGGTGGCTTCAGGACTTCCTGGTTGTTAGGCCAGTGCAGAACTTTCTAGTCCAGAGGCCGGAGCTGGGAGACCGCCTTAAGGGAGGAAAGAGCTCCGATTAAGGCTGAGCTCTGCTCTCCCTGCCTGGCCAGGCTCCTGAAGGGGGCCAAGCACTTCCGGCCTTGAGTCTGGGGGTGGAAGAAAGAAAGGGGCTGTGCGGGACAGGAACATTCTATCCTCCCACCTCTGCTGAGTCTGCCAGTCCCAACTTCTTCACCTTGGGCGGGTCACCTTCCCTGCCTTGGGCCTCAGTTTCTACTTGAGTAACAAGGGGTAGAATATGGGTTGGGCAGGATTCCCTCCAAAAGCCGTCCTGGCTTTAAATCTGAATGGATCTGCATCCACCAAAAGTTCCATGAAACACATGTTCTCACACGTGGATGCCAGTCTTTTTTACCTCCAGGGTTCCTAGTGTTTTCCTGCTCAGCAGAAGAAATTTGGCTCAGGATGGATGAAGGGGCAAATGAGACCAAGACTGTATTCCCCCAGGAACCCGCAACTGAGTGGCCCTGACAGCTGACTTTGGTGCCAGCCTTGGCCTTTCAAGCCTAAGCAGCTGGCAAAAGCTCCTGCCATGTGATTCTCCTTCAAACCTGTCACCCACCTGCTCACAAGTGTCCTTGTCTCATTCTCCGTGCTAGATTTTGCATTCCTGTGAATTCCCATCAGCATAATTCCAAATGGCCAATCTATGTCCATATTCTCTTATGAATACATTGCTTCACTACTTTGCCAGTGAACTTTGCTGCAACAGGGCTCCCCAGCTACCTATTGCTTCCTTCTTCATGCCCCTCCCTCTAGGGTTCCTTATGAATCAAGGGTTTGTGTGACCTCCTACCTCCCTTATAATCCCTTCCATATCAGGAGAATAGGACAGGTGTCTGAATGCCCTTTAGGAATTATAGCCTTTTGGCTTTTGCACTAGCCCACACGCTTTCCTCCATCCCTGAAAGATCCTGGCAGTAGAGTTCTCTGTGGCATGGTAGAAAGAGGTAAGGAGTCCCTTGGTGGCTGTGGGAAGCAGCCAGCTCCTATAACCCAACTGTAGCATCACCAAAGAAGGAGTCCCCTTGCATCAGGGGCTCTGTACCTCACGCTTGCTTGGTTCATGGCTGGGTGAAAGGATAAAAAAGTGACATGTCAGCTCTTGTGGGCACTGGAGGCCTGCTGCTTGGATGCGGTGCCAAGACAGATCTGAATGCAAGAGCTCTAAAGCTGACGGCCGCCTCCCACAGAAACAGCCTTCCTTTCCGCCACAGAGCCTCTGGGAGCCAGGAAAATGGGCATCACCATCAGGGAAAGAAAGGGGCTTCTCTGGGTTTCTCCCTACAACCCGCAAGGTTTTTCAGCCCATGTTACCATTGTTATCGGTTTTCTCAGGACCGCAAATTCAATGCAAAGCTGTGGCTCAATGGAATCATTTTGGAGTCAAACCTTGTGGAAGGAAGCCCCAGGCCGGTAGGTTCAGTGGGGTGAGATCCTGGTTGAAGCACTTAAGGTCTCTGAGCCTCGTCTAAACAGTAGGATTTGTGATTTTATTAAAGGAGAGGGTAAGAGAGAAAGTACCTTCCCAGTTTGAAGGAGAAATTTTCATCTGTTCCTGCTGCAGTGGAGGGCTGTGTAAGGCACGTCATAGGAACCAGGGCCAGACACATGCCTCGGGCTTGCTTCCCCCGGGGGTTGCAGGGCTCTTATTAAGCAACCAGGCAGCGCGGTTGCTTAGAAAGAGAAGGCATAGCTGAGACACGGAGTACATGTTGTTCTTGGTCAATTTCAGCTGCCCGAAGGAGCTCGCTCCCCATCTTCTCAAAAGGAAACATGTTGCAGCAGCAAGAGTAGCAGACTGTCCAAGGCTGGCCCTCCCAGTCTGGGGCTGAACCCGGCACCCAGGCACCAGGCTGGGCCCGGGCATTTAGAAATAAGGCCCTAGCACAGTCCCACCATAGGGCCTGGTGGGAGGCTCAGGGAAGTGGCAACTACAGGGCAGAGGTCTGCTCCAAGGCCCTAGATGCTGGGTCCTTTGGGGCCTCAATGCAGGGGAGCGGGCCTGGGGTCCATGCAGATGCTGCTCAACTGCAGCTTTCTGAAGCCAGAACGAGGAAATGCTGGGTTAGCAGGGCACCGGTAGCTGTGCTTTCAGATAGGGCCTGGGCCAATGCCCACTTGCCTTGCAGCAAACTTGAAAAAATACCCCATCCTATCCACCTTGCTGATGCCCAGGGGCAGGTTGGGAGTTGGGCATTTTAGTTGGCTATTAAAGCAGCTGCCTAAATACTGACATTGGAAGAGGCTTCTGGAGATCGTCGGGTCTGATGCTTTGCCCCCAGACACAACCTCGACTAGATGAATATTTGTGTTGCTTAACAAATGGAAGGTTCTGTTTGTGCCCTGGTATCTAGAGAGTATCTCAGACTCACATAAGCATAGGTCCCAGCTTAGGCGCCTGTCTCAGACAGAGGTAGGCCCTGTGGAGAAAGACACAGGAGGGTCTAGCCAGGCTGGGGAGGGGTGGGTGGGGGAGCAACTAGGAGGGGACCCAGGGCGTTTTCTGAGCCTAAAGCACAGCTGTAAACAAAGTGAAAGACATGTGGCCCCATGTCCGGCTCCAGGTTCTTCCGCAGGCAAGTCTGTGGCCATTCCTTGCACTTGCTTCAAGGAGGAGCAAACCTCCTGTCCCCAAAGCCTGGCAAGCTGCTGACCTGGCTCTTGGCCTGAGGGAGAAGAGCTCTCTGACCCTCAGGCTGGCTGCAGTGTGCCACAGCAAGAACGCTTCCACTGCCTGGGTCACAGGCCTGGTGGCAGGCTTCTCTCTAGGTCTCCGCCACAAGCACTGGCCTTTCCCCTCCCCACCCCTCTCCTTAGGCTGTAACGATCCCCTCCAGCCCCGCCCCCACCCCACCCCCACCCGAGAGGAGCCACAGCCCCCCTTGGGGGTCAGAAGTTCGCCCACACAGTCTGAAGCACACCTCCGCTTCCTCTCGCCTGCTGTCCTGGACCCTCCCTTTAGTGCAACAAACAGTAACTGCCAACGGGGACCTTGAGGTGGAAGAGTCTGTGCCATAAGGCAGTCCACGTGGAGACAAGGAAGACAGTTTGATTCACGTAAACCCTGGGGCTCCATCAACTGTCCCGTTAGCTCAAGGTCATTCTGGCCAGGCAAGCAGGCCTTGCCATACCAGAATCACTGGGGAATAAATAGCAGTGGGACATTTCTCTCTGCAGCTGCCATGCCCATATACCTCACTCCACAGCAGCACTTAAGAGCTTCTGTGGGGAGATCCCAGCTCCCAAACCTGGGACGGGGACACGGGCAGGGGCAAAACAGGGGGAATCTAGGATGCAGGGGCCTCGCCCAGCCTGATGGCCCCGAAGAAGGTGGTGTGCTTGCTCATGTTGATGGAGATGTCGGCGTGCACCATCTTCACGGCGATCTTCTGCCGTGCTTTGAGGAGACAGACGCCCGCGGTGTAGCAGGTGTTGTAGTTGGTCTTGCCCGTCTCAATGCTGCGGGTGCACTGCAGAAAGGGCTTCTCGTCCACCACCACCTCATAGCTGGCAAAGTCAGTGAAGTTGATGTAGTACACCTGGGTGAGAGGCAACGAGAAGAGATTGGGGGAGAGAGGAAGGAGGGCAGGGACCTTCTCAGAAGAGCTGCCTCTTCCCTTTGGGAAGGGGCAATGCCACTTGTAGGCCCACTAGTTAGCCGACAGGAAAGGCGGGGGCCGACAGGCTTAGAGTCTATGCTTCCCCCACCCTGCCATGGGGCTCAGACGGCTGGGCCAATCTTTCTTGCAGCAGCATACCAGCTGTAAACTCTGAGGGCAAGAAGTGTACCTTATTGGCCTCCCACCCCCTGCTGGGCATGAAGCCCCAGGCTGTGCACGCACACAGGGGGCTCAGTCAGTGCAGCAGACACGCTTGAATACAAACTAGCTTCCAGTCCCAAGGGCTATTTGTGGATAAAGATAGAGGAGACAGTGACAACTCGCCCTTTCTTCAGCCCTTTTGCAGCCAGCCCCTGCCCCTGTTGTGTTTCTCTTGAATCCTCACCGGGTCCCTTGGCCCCTTCATCTGATGTCTGAGGAAACAGATGCAGAGAGGTGGAGAGGTCTCCACCATTAATGAGATGAGGAATTTGGAAGGGCAAAACCCAGGCCCCTAACTATACTTTGTGGCTGGAAGACAGTGTGAACCTGTCTTCAAAGTCCCGATGTCAGGGGGATTTTCCCAATTTGCACGGTGTCCAAAGCCTGAGGTGAGTCCCAATTCTCTCCTAGGCCTGGAAAGTTAATTTGTTTATCCTTCACTAGCAAGCTTTGATCCGCCCCGCCCCAGCTTAGGACAGATGCCCCACAGGACATTGGGATTACACTCACCTGTCCCCCTTGGGATCGTGGCCCTCATCTGTCACCCTAACTCACTTTATCAAACATTGCTCCCTCCACCAGCTCCTCCACAGGGAGCAGTGTATTCAGGTGCCACCCAATTTCTTGGTCAGCACCCAGTCTGTGCCAGGGTGCTTGGTGGAGCAAATGCTTATTAACCCACCTTCTCTGGCCACTCTCCTGTGAGGCCCTTCTGCCGGCTCCACTTTCCTTCTGTCCATCTGCCTGCTTGATGCCCACCCCACAGAAGCCCCAACCTTGGGGCTCATCTATCTCTAGCTCTGAGGAGCCATCTGGTTGAGGCAACGAGCAGGTGTGTGGGAGTAGGGTGGCAGACCCGGTGACTGGGCCCAGGCAGGACAAGTATAAAAACAGAGGGAGAAAAGGGCTGGAATAATGACAGCAGGAGGAGGCAAGCATAACAGAGAAACAGAAAGGAAGAGAAACAAATGGGAGAAAGAGGAAGGAAGGATAGTCAGAAAAGGTTTTTGAGGCAGAGAGAAAGTACACAGGAGCCCTGCTCATTTCAAAGTTGGCAGTGTGGGGGGAAGAGGTTCTTAGCAGCCCTGGAACGGCGGGACTGAACCAGAGTTCAACTTGGGCAGTAGAATCAAACACCTTGGGGGGTACGGGGTGGGGAGGGGAGAATAAGGGTCGGGGCGCTGTAGGATGGGATTGGGTAGCACAGTGTCGGAGGGGGCTCTTTTCAGTCTTTCAATGGTATCTGGCTAGGAAAAGCCCACAAACAGCCCCTTTCTTTCCTCTGTTTAACTCCCTCCCCGAGCGGTGCCCCCACCCCCCTCACCCGCCAAAGCAGAAAGTTAGCCATTGGCTGGTCTTGGCTGGCTCCACAGTGCCCCTATGTGGCTTGCACCGGATCTGCATTCTGGATATAAGAAGAGTTAGGCCTGAGACCGTACTCACTTCTACCTGACTATAGATGAAGTACGTGCCGTCCACCAGTACCTCCAGCTCCCCGCTGCGGGGATGTAGCTTAAACACCTTGGGGTTCATGGTGATGCGAGACCAGTCATTGAGCACTCCACCTGAAAGATCTCAGTATGAGAGAAGGGCAGTCACTCAGTACATGTCAGAAGAATCTGGGCAACAGAAACAAGAGATCTCAAACATGCACAACCCCCACGCCCATCCCAGTGCAACTTGGCAAGCCCAGGAGACCCGAACTGTAAGAACAGCATTTGGAAGCACAGAAAAGTTTTCTGTCTGTAAAGCAGCTGCCAGGTTGGCCTTAGGTCCCCTGTTCCCCTGTCTGTCTCCCCCTCTCCTTCCCTGACCACCCCCTTCCCCATCTGGAATGGTCTTTAACCAACACCTAGGAACTGGGGGTGGGCAGTAAGAGAGTGGGCACACTGACCTATTTCCTTTGTTGTCTTGGTGCCTGCACAGGCAAAATTCAGACACTGAGTGGCAGGCTAGCTCTTATTATTCCATTTTATTTCACCAGCCACAACTCCTAAATCCCCCTATTGTCTTATAGGTCCGTAGATTTTCTCCTTCTCCGCAAGAGACTCCTCCACACCCACTCCTTTCTGGAAAGCCTCGCTGGGCTCCCAGGAAACCGCTCAGCCTAAGGAATTGTCTCCCTGGAGAACGTTAGGAATCAGGGTGTGTGAGACCTCATAGCACCCAGAGAGGGTGACCGTCAGTAATAAGGCCCCACAGGGGAGACGGGGGTTGATGAGAGGGAGGGGCAGACTGCCAGCAGCATCAGAACCAGCCACTGGGGACGGTGAGGGTGTCTGGGAGCTGAGGCACCCCCGGCAGCACTTCTGTCTCTCAGCTCAGCCCACTCGAGGTGGAGGGGCCATCACGCCACCCTGGCTGGACACGGGAAACCAGCACACGAGCGCGGAGGAAGCGCTTCCCTTTCCATCTGGCAGAAAGAGGGGGCTGCCTTCCACCCCCAAAACCGTCCATTCTCCACCCAAGAAAGGACGTTTTGAATACCCGTCCTTGGCTAGACTCAGAAGGCGTGAGGGAACTGCCCTTCTGGAAAAGGCGGTCATTGCCCCTTGAGGTGATAAGTAGATGGGAAAGGAGTCAGGAGGAGATGCCCTGGTCCAGCCTCTTCAAGACTGCTCTGCATGATGGTGCCCCACCCCCGCCTACCCCATCCCCTCCCAGTGGAACTAAAGATCAGTATAGACTGCTACTGGAGACTGGCCTAGAGGGGTTGGAACTAGACGTGTGATGCGGCAGTTAGTGGGAGCAAAATCAGTAGCTTCTGGCATAGAATAAACACTGAGGCCACCCATGCGGAAACCCAAACATGTCTATTTCCTGCCTGCCTCAGTCCTCCCTGGAGAGATGGTGGTCACGGCTCCCTATCACAGCCCTGGGGCCCAAGGTACCTGGTCCCAGCAGGACCACTTGGGCTTTGGTACCATTCTGCTCTGACGTGTATTTCTGAGGCTATTAAGTCAGGCACCCAGGTGGCAGCGCAGCATGTAGCTGGGCCTAGTCCTTAAGAAAGCTCGGCCATGCCCTGGCTGGTGTAACTCAGTAGACTGAGCACCAGCCTGAGAACCAAGGGGTCTCTGGTTCAATTCCCAGTCAGGGCACATGCCTGGGTTGTGGGCCAGGTCCCCAGCAGGGGGCACTCGAGAGGCAGCTACACCTTGATGTTTCTCTCCCTTTCTTTCTCTTTCCCTTCCCCTCTAAAAATAAATAATCAATAATCTTTAGAAAGAAAAAAAAAAAAAGAAAGCTTGGCCCAGCCAGTTCAGGACTGGGGCTGGGCTCTTCTAAGCTGTCCTCATTGTAGCACCTTTCTGAACCTTCCTTTCCTGTACCCGCACTCACAGCCCTTCCTTTCTCCTCCAAGCTCTGTACGCATCTGGCACCTTGGCTGGCCTGCTGCTTCCCAAGGCTCCTGGGCGTTCATGCATTTCGGCTTTGTGCACTCTGGGGACTGGCCATTATTTCAAAGGACCGTTCTTTAATGAATGTCCGGGTCTCTTCGGGGAAGAAAATAATCGTACTCATTCGGTGGAGCACACACACATAGTGCATTGGAAAGGGTCAGAGGGATGCTGTTTTGAATCCCAGCTCCGGAACGCAACTGAAATCTTGTGCCAATTAAATAACCTCTCTGAGTTTTAGCTTCAGTCTCTGTAAGAAGAAGCTAATACCTACCTCACAGGGTTGTTGTGAGGCTCAAATGAAATAAAAGCGAAAGAAAGCATGTTGAAAACTCTCAAGGACTATACAAATATAAAGCAGCAGGATTTATTATGGTATTACCCAATCTCCCAGGGACTCTGTTTCCCCAGTTTTTGAAAGTGGGGATTACATTAAATCAGTGTTTTTGAGCCTCCTTAAACTTATTTTCCCTTTCTTTAGACACTAGCATTGCACATTTCCCGGAGAGTCTAACATGCAGTCTGCCTCCCTGTGCAGAGCTGTCAGAGAGGAATTTACATTTATGTCATTTTCCCTTCTCTGATTTGCACTGTGAAAATGTCGATCAAACTCCATATATCCCCTCTGGGTGACTCTGACGGAACCTCCATCTCCCAACAATTCCTGGTCTACATGGTGCCTCAAGTGCCTTTCAGCTTTCTGAGCGGTGTTTCTAGTTGCAATTTGGGTGTAGCAACCAGTCTTGATACAAGCCATTACCCAGGACAGACAGCAGAGGGCAACATGAAGTAAGGAACGGCCCTAGTGCTCTGGATACCTCAGGGCCCCGGGAGGAAACAGACTGGGTGATGATTTGGAAGCTGGGGGTAAGGAAGAGGGGAAGCCCCTCTTAGCGAGAGAGTCTCCTTGGACTCTTACCATTCTTGACTTGAATTGCAGACCCTTGGCCCTGCAGATGCACCACAGCTGGCTGGAAGGATAAGAAGGATAGAGAGAGGAGTCACGGTGAGAAATGACAGCTCGCTCAGCCACCCGTTTCCATATTTCCACCTCTGACTTCCAGTTTCCTTTTGGATTCCAATTCTGATCCTTCTTCCCTATCTTGGGATGCTAGTGACCACAGTGAGGCTGGGGAGGGGTGTCATATGATTTTGTAGTTCAGCCACTTCCTAGTTCCGTGACCGCAGCCACACGTAGTACCTGTGAGCCTCATTTCCCTAACTGTAAAATGGGAATTAGAAGAATCCCTTGGCCTCCCTCACAGGGATGTCTGAAGATCAAATGAGGTGATGGATACAAAATTGCCTTGGAAGCCATCAAGCACTGTGCAGCTGTGCAGATTTAACTGTGGCCAAACAGCTGTAGCGCGGGAGGCCGAGATGAGACAAGGCAGGGCAGTAGAACCTGCCAATAGAGACAGATTAGGAAGCTCAAAGACTAGGGAGGAGCCCTGCAGACCGTTAAGGCAGAAAGGAGCCCAGGCTGGCCTTGGCCTGGAGCTGGTTGGCTGGTTGTCAAGGACATACTCTTCAACTTCTAAGCTCCTGATCCCTGGCGGTCTGAGTGCTGACAAGGTGTCTGGGGCGGCTGGGGGAGTGGGAGGCCCAGGTGAACAAGGCCTGTCTGGCGGCCCATTTTAGCTGCCTGCTGTGTGTAGATACGGGACCCTCTATCTCCTGTGCAGTGGGGAGAAACGGGCAGGGAGCAGAAAGACAAGAAGACTGGATTCCCTTAGCTCAAAGCAGGCCCAGGGGAAAAGATTTTCTATTCATGGAGATGAGAGGGGGTTGTGAGTGAACAACCTCAGAGCCTCCACGGTATCCTCACAAAATAAAGCGTGGCAAATTTAACAGGGGAGCGCACTGAGAGGTGGCCGTAGCCTGAGGCTTCCCCCCACTCCCCGGGATGGGAGCAATTCCCAGCCAACCTGGTTTTCTCGAGTTCCAGCTTTATCAGCAGCACCTGCAAAACAGGACAGGACAATCAGGGTCAAGCCTTGTCTTCTGGCCTTCCTCCTCCCCACCGCAGCCTGAGGAGGGAACCTTGTGATGGGAGAGGACACTCCTTCCGTCTCACTTGTCCCTGACCCGTATCTCCAGAGGGCCTGGCATCCCGCAGGGAAAGTGGCCTCTTGCCAATGCTGGCCCAAGGCAAGTCCCACTGAGCACCCACAGACATGGGTGAGAGAGCATTCCTGTCATTGTGTGACTCCGAGACCGTGCTGTTCGCTTCTTTTGACTTTTGCTTCCCTTCTATTAGTTTTCTTGGTAAAGTGCATTGCCATTTGGAAATACCTTACATCTTTAATTTTCTCCCTCTCTTCTAGGACATAAACTACATGAGAACAGGGACCACTGATCAATATATCTTTTACACATAGAAAGTGCTCAATTAATATTCCTGGAAAGACTGAATGAAAAAAAAATCTGCCAACTCCATGCCCTGTGGCCACCGTAATACTGATTAGCCCCATTTGAACTGAGTCAAAGGATTTGAGTCCTGCTGCAGAATTCTTGGACCCATATGAGTCAGTGGCAAAGAGTCCATTTGTTTAAAACCCTACAATACAGTCCTGGCTGGTGTCGCTCAGTGGACTGAGCACTAGCCTGTGAACTGAAAGGTTGCCAGTTCGATCCCCAGTCAGGGCACATGCCTGGGTTGTGGGCCAGGTCCCCAGTAGGGGGTGTGCGAGAGGCAACTGATTGGTGTATGTCTCACACATTGACATTTCTCTCCCTTTGTCTTTCTCCCTCCCTTCCCATCTCTCTAAAAATAAATAAAATATTTAAACCCTTTATTAAAAAAAACACAACTGTATGATACAGGAGGACAGTGGGAGAGGGAAATAACAAGTGACTCAAACTCAGGCAGTTCAAGTCCCATTAAGTCCAATCTGGCACGTTTGCATCTGCATCTCTATCTTTTGGATGCCCTTCTGGGCCCAAAGGGAAAGAGGCAAAGGGATTAAATGCTATTTGAATGGGCAATGACGTGGGGTAAGGATGCAGTGCAATGAGTGTTTGGTTCTTCCCCAGGATGCTGATAGTGCCTGTGTTTGCTCCTTTCACAGCTATCAGTGACCTCTATGAGAAGGGCACTTTAGAGTGCATGGGTCGAGACCATTCTATGGCTGGTATCTCATCCAGTCTGCACCATTCTTCCCCATACCAGCATCAGCACAGGAGTTAGATGCTAGAAATCAGAGCCGACCCGATCCATCTCCTGCAAGAACTTCAGTGAACTCTCAAGGGCCTCTGTCTCAGGCTTATAGGAGTTTACTGGCTCACTACAGAGAGGCCAAGAGTAAGGGCAAGTCAGACCCTACTGGCTTGTTTAATGTCTACTTTTACACTGAGCCAGGAGATCTGCATTTCTTATTGCACACCACCGCTGCCAGCCCCATTTGATACTGCTCTCAGGAACACTCAGCCCTGCTTTATTAAAGTGCTGGTAAAGAAGCCCTGGCTGGTGTGGCTCAGTGGATTGAGTGCCAGCCTGCAAAGCAAGATCCTTTGGTTTGCCGGTTCTATTCCCAATCAGGGCACATGCCTGAGTTGCAGGCCAGTTCCCCAGTAGAGGGCATGCGAGAGGCCACCACACATTGATGTTTCTCTTTCTTTCTCCCTCCCTTCCCCTCTGTCTAAAAAAATAAATACATAAAATCTTACAAAAAATAAAGTGCTCGGAAAGGAGCCTGGGGGAGGGTGGAGGACCAGGAACTCACCAGAAGGTCCCTGGAGGCCAGGGGGTCCCTGAGGGCCAGGAGGACCTGGAGGGCCAGGTGGTCCCATAACAGTTGTTCCTGGAATTCCAGGAATCCCTGGAATCCCTGGGGGTCCCTGGGGTCCCGGAGGTCCTGGAGGTCCTGGGGGCCCATTTGGCCCAGGAGGTCCCGCCTTCTTTCCTGAAAGACAAGATTCGGTGTCATGTTTGCAGTTACTGACTGAGAATGTACCGGCAGTTCTGCTGACTTCCAATGCCAAAAAGTCAGCCTTCTGAGCATTTTTTACTATTAAAGAGGTGACCACCTTTATCACCCCCACCCCACTCCTCTCCTCTCTCATGAATAATCACTTTCAGAGTTGGGTTGAATATAATAGAAATAAATAGCCCTCAAGGAGCTCACTGAGGCGAAGAAAAACAGACAGTGACAGGAAAGTAGAAGTGCTACATTTGCGGCAGGGAAAAAAGTGCCAAAGAGGTCAGGAAAGGCTTCAAAAAGGAGGGGACATTTCAGCTGAGTCCAAAGGAGCTCAGTTGTCAAGTGGCCAGACCTATGGGTTACTTTTTAGACTACTGAGATTTGGGCTATTGTTGAAGACAGTGGCTTTCATATTTACGTCCCGGTTTGGTGGACTTGACGCAGATAGAAGAGGAAGCTAGGAGGACAGTGTGCCCTTAGCAACCTCAGCTCCAGGAAGGTTTCCTGTAGGAGTCAGATGTACAGGAACTGAGGGCCTGAGGGAAGTGCTCGCTGGGAATGAGGACTGGGACAGAGTTTGGGAGGTGAGAGGCTGGGGAGGGAGAGAGCCCTGGCCAAGTGTCTCAGTTGGCTGGAGTGCCGTCCTATACACCAAAAGGTTGCAGGTTTGATTCCCGGTCAGGGCACGTATGGGAGGCAACCAATCTATGTTTCTCTCTCACGTCAATGTTCCTCTTTCTCTCTCTCCCTCCTTCCCTCCCTTCCCCTCTCTCTAAAATCAGTAAAAACATCTGTGGGTGAGGATTCACAAAAAGAGAGAGACAAAGCGAGAGGGAGGGAGGGGGTAGGGGAGAGACAGAGAAACAAGGAAAGAAGATGTGGAGAGTAGAGAGAGCTGAGGAGGAGGCAGCAGATCTTGCTTTCTCGGCTGAGCTCTCGAAACCTGGGAAAGGGAATCCTGCACCCTCCCTTGGCAACACGGTCCAATGTTTATTGCCCCTCACCGTTAGGAAGTTTTTTCTGTATATTTAACTGAAATCTGTTCTGTGGCAGTTTAAGCTCTTATTCCATTTTCAGATAGACGCGGAAGAATAGTCACCATCATCCATATAATAGCCCACATATTCTCAGAGACACCGTCACCCACCAACCTCCATTTTTATAGGTTAAATAGTCCAGCTTGCCAGACTCTTTCCTCAGAGGCCCTATTCTTGAATGTGCAATGTTATGGATATTAATCAAGCCCACCAACTCTTCCCTTTTCTTCCTCACTATCTTTGCAGTCCAGCCTTGATCATCCTCCTATTCCATGTTGCACTCCTTTCAACAGTCCTGTCAGGATGTAGTTAGGTTCACCGGGTCCTAACTGTGGTCTTGAACCCACAACTGCAGCTCCTTCTGTTTAATTCTGTGCAGCCCAATCCCAGCACTCCTCCCTTCACCTCTTTCTGAAAATTTTATGGAAGTCTTGGGCCCAGAAGCCTTTTTTCAGACATCACCATGGTATCTTCACCTGTGGTACTTTCTTAGTTGGAAACAGAGCCCTCTCGAGTCTCACTTAAACAATGCCTCACTGACTCCAATTCTCTCCTCCCCAGATCCCGAGGCAGGAGAATCCTGTCTTGATTTCTCCTGTCCTCCCTTTAAGAACAATGCTGCAGCCCTGGCTGGTGTGGCTCAGTGGATTGAATGCCGGCCCGTGAGTCAAAGGGTCGCTGGTTCCATTCCCACTCAGGGCACATGCCTGGGTTGCAGGCCAGGTCCCCAGTGGGGGTCGTGCAAGAGGCAACCACACATGGATGTTTGTCTCCCTCTCTCCTTCCCTTCCCCTCTCTCTCAAAATAAATAAATAAAATCTTTAAAAAATAACCTCTTAAAAAAAAACAGAATAATGCTGCATGTTCACAAAACTGAATTCCCAGGGCCACTCCCTCAGAAGGCCAGGGGTCCCAGTCTAACCACATCTGTATTTGAAATGAAACAATGGTGTCTCAGTGGGGCCCTCTGCCCAGAAAGGGCAGGAAGGAAGAAGGGCCAGAGCTCTGCTCTCCCAGAAGAGCCCCTGGAGCCGAAAAGGCAGGAGCAGGAGCTTAAGGCTTTCCATTGTCCGCTGCAGCAAAGTAGTGGATCTTCCCAGTTTCCTGATCTAGCCAATTTCAAGATGCTGAACAGGAAAAGCCATCTCCCTTCAGATTTGGGTAGCTTCCAAGGAGGGCTTATTCAGCGCCCCAGTTTCAATTCCAGCTAGTGTAGTGGAAAGAATGCAGAATCTGTAGTCAGGAGATAAGGCTATAAGCCCCCAAATCTGACATGGGCACATTCTGGGCAAATCCCTTCCTCTTGCTGAGCCTTAGCTTCTCCATCGAGATTTCTCTCAGTTTCCTCACAAGTCCGAGGTTCCTTAAGGGGGAAGGACTTACCCCGGTGGCCGCTGGGAAACTGGCCTGGCCTGGCTGTAAGGTCTGCTTCTCTCTCATGGTTCTCTAGGCAGCATGGACACAGAGGACGGTGCCTATTAGGCTGTGCTGTGGCCCCGAATTTCCAGGCCTGCTGGGGATTTTCAAGCTAGAGGGTGTTCCGTGGGCAATACAAACTCCAGTGTCAAGGCTGCGGGTCTCCTGTGATTGCTAATGCAATTGTGGACGAATTACAGCCAGAAACTCCTCCAGTCCGAGAGAAGTGTGGTTGCAGTGTAAACAGAGAAGCGTTCACTTAGGAAACATTGGAAGGCATTTGGGGAGAAGCTCTCGTTGTGGTCTAGTTCTGCAGCTGGTGCCCTCTGCCCCTCGGCATCCAGGTTCGAGCAAGTGTGCTCCTCGTACTTGCAGAGCTTTGGAAAGCTGGCCTGAGAGGAGCATGACCCCTGGACCCAGGAGATGATTTGCGAGGATTGAATTCTTTCTGCGATTTCCTCACTTTAACAGGGCACTTCATGATGCAAAAGCCCAAAGACTTTTGTCCTTTGCAAGTTACCCTTTGTAGCCTTAGATGAAAATATATGCATACATTCTTTTCAAAGGTAACCTTCCAGAAAGGGTGTTTTGCTAACCTTTCAGCAAAGTCCAAATTGCTGAAAGAACAACTAAAAGCAACTGAGCAAAAGGGTGTGTTGGGCCTGTGCACATGCACAAGAGATGGGGAGGGGAAAAATTCCATTAAAGAATGGAAATTAGCCATGTCTAGTGTGGCTCAGTGGACTGAGCACCGGACTGTGAACCAAAGGCTCTCTGGTTCGATTCCAGGTCAGGACACATGCCTTGGTTGCAGGCCAGGTCTCCAGTAGGGGGCACTTGAGAGGCAACCACACATTGATGTTTCTCTCCCTCTCTTTCTCCCTCCCTTCCCCTCTCTGAAAATAAATAAAATGTTAAAAAAAAGAAATTAAATAAACAACTTAATTTATCTCTTCAGGAATATCCCTATTCACTGATGCTATGGAAATCTTTGGGCCAAAGTAAATGTGTAAGGCCCATGTTCATTCTCTTCCCAGGAATGGTCTGTATATAAGATAACAGTGGGGGAGGGTCAGGGGGGCAGTGATTGAGTCCCTGTCGGAGGTACTGAAAGCTGAGTTGTAGTTCCAGAGCTTCTCTAGCCTAGCCTGTTGTCTTCTGTTGCTGCTGGCAGGGCATTGGATAACACTGCAACTGGGTGCTGCTTTCCACCACACCCATGCCCAATCCTCTGCTAAACCATCGTGTAGTTTCCCCCAAACATGTCACGTTCTTTCATGCTTCTAAGGGATTTGAGTATGCTATTCCCTTTGCTGGAATGCCCTTTCTCCTCTTTTCCCCTCATCCTTCAAAATCCAGGTCAAATACTGCTTTCTCTGAGATGTGGCCCCTCGCTCCCCCAAGGAAGACTACTTGCTCTGTCTTTGTGTTCCCACAGCGTGCTGTTCATGCTTCTATGGTAGTATTTTTTTATACTGTACTGTACTTATTCATGTGTACTTCCACAATTCTAACTACACTGGGAAATTTGGAAGGGAAGGAACCATTATTAGATCTACCCATGTCAGAATTGACACCAGTTCTTAACAAAGATTTTATTTATATATTTATTTATTTATTTTTGGAGAGGGGAAGGGAAGGAGAAAGAGAGGGAGAGAAACATCAATGTGTGGTTCCCTCTCATGTGTCCCCCACTGGGGACCTGCCCCCAACCCAGGCATGTGCCCTGACTGGGAATCGAACCGGAGACTCTTTGTTTTATAGGCCAGTGATCAATCCACTGAGCCACACCAGCCAGGGCATGAACCATTTTCTTCATCTCTGTATCTCTATTCCTGACAAATATCCGATGCTTATTTGCGACATAGTGAACAAGCAAGTAGAAAAAAGGAAAGTCACCCCTGGGTTAGAGTTAGGAGCAGAGGGTGTCCTTGTTCAAGCCAGGTGAGCATTCTGGCCTTGTAATAATTTCTGTGTTAAAGGAATGTGACCAGAGGTAAAACCTGTGTGTTTGAAAGTCAAATATACTTTCTTCAAAGACAGACTAGCTTGGTGAATGCCCAGGTTCTGTGGAGAAAGGTTTCTTCACTGACTCCAGAGAGCTGGCTATTTCCTGGCTTTGATCAGTTCAGGTGTTCAGGAGGCCTGGTCAGTCCTTAGCTTCATTACAGCAGGGATACGGGTTTGCCACGTGGCCTATGGCACCTCAAGCCACCAGAGGACCCTAGTGCTCAGAGAAATGGGAGGTGGCAGCTGAAGCCAGTCTTTTTGGCCTAGTCTGGGGTTGCTAATGTATTCCATAAAACTCCAGAAATCTTAACAGATGGAATCATTTCACTTAAAACATTTTAATGAAACATCATTAATTTTACTCTATTTTCCTCCTAGGTCAGAACACAGAAACAAATAGGTATTGAGTTGGCCAAAAAGTTGGTTTAGTTTTTGCTGTAGGATGGTGCTAGTAGTATTTAGTTGTCTTTTACTTCATTCAAAGCAATTTTGCTAGATTGTATGTGATAGCTGTCATATCAGCACGCATTAAAAAAACTTATCAAAATTGGTGAATTTTTGTGCAGCCATTTTAATATTGAAGATGGAAGAAAATACATAACATTTGCAGTGTATTATGCTTTATTATTTCAAGAAAGGTAAAAATGCAACTGAAATGCAATTAAAGATTTGGGCAGTGTATGGACAAGGTGCTGTGACTGATCAAATGTGTCAAAGTGGTTTGCAAAGTTTCTTGTACTATTGACATTTTGGCCAAATAATTCTTTGCTGTGGGGCTGTCTTATGCATTGGAAGATGTTTAGCAGCACCCTGGGCCTCTACCCTCTAGAATCCAATAGTGGGAGATAGCTGGCATACTCAAAGTATTCAAATCAATAAAGATATTGGTAGAAATGAAAAATGTGTCTTTTATTTTATGGAAAAACATAATGGACTTTGTGGCCAATGCAATACTTAGAACTGGTTTCACAGTAGGTTCTTTGAGTCCTCAGGGGCGAACTGGATTGCCTGGCCCTATACAGTGGAACCCATTCTGTCTGGGTTTTCCTCCAGTGAAAGTCCTCAAGCCCTCACACAACACGCCCTTGGGCCAGGCCCATGGTGAGTAAACCAGAGCTGTGCTGACCCAACAAAGGCACAGTGAATCTGCTCAACTAGAGCTTCTTTGAAAAGGCTAAAAAGATCAGACTATGACTCCAGCCTAGCTTTTCCATCATAAAGAAAATGATAGTGAAACCCTGAAGTGAGCAATGCCTTCTATCAGTATCTAAGAAACAGGATAGGGAAAATTTTTAGGCCAAGAAATAGGCTACTCCTGGCTGGTGTGGCTCAGGGGATTATTGAGTGCCAGCCTGTGAACCAAAGGGTTTCCAGTTTGATTCCCAGTCAGGGCGCATGCCTAGGTTGTGGGCCAGGTCCCCAGTAGGGGGTATGTGAGAGGCAACCACACATTGATGTTTCTCGCCTTCTCTTTCTCCTTCCCTTCCTCTCTCTCTAAAAATAAATAAAATCTTAAAAAATTAAATAAAAAAAGAAAAAGGGTACTGATATCTCTCAGGAGATAGTAAAACTGTTCCCTACAAGCCACCTGAGGACTTCATTCATATCTGGTCACTGACTTGATAATGGAAGGGAGAAAAAAGAGAAAGAAGAAGGGGAGGGGAAAGAGCAAGGAAGAATAAAGGAAAGAGACAGAAACTGAACTGTATGGAAGAAAGAGCAAGAAAGACAAACAAAACCAACTTTCATATATTGCCAGAGAAGCAGCTCTGTCTTTCATCGATCATTACTGCTCCCTTTGGAAGCTACAAACACTCAAGAAGGCCCCATGGGACTGAATAAAATAACAGACCACCAGCATGAAAAGACTAGAACATAAAAACCTCCACTCCCTGGATATGTTTTTCTTCTCCTGCCCCAGTACTAAGTACTAACCAGGCCTGACCCTGCTTAGCTTCCGAGATCAGACAAGATTGGGTGTGTTCAGGGTGGTGTGGCCATAGACGGTTTTCCTTCTAATTTTAGAAAAGACATGACATAACAGCAATTTTTAAAAAGCAAATCAGGAACTTAACTTACCCTTTTTCTTGTTTTTAACTGGACCTGTTACAAAGAGAAAATGGAAAAATAAGTCACTGGAAATTAACAGAAAATGTTTACTCTTTAAGACAGTCACAGGAAGGACCCCAAGACACTGCCAATTTGAGGGAGCCCCACGCCACCAATCAGGTAATTGCCAAGGTGTCTCCCAACCATCCAACTCCCCCCACCATCTGTTTCTGACTGTTATTCTGCCTGTTGTGAACAAGAAAGTTATAAGGAAGATTATTTCCTAGGGAGAAAAACATCTTGCAGGCTGCCTTTGCAGTGAGTGAATGGCTGCTTCTCCATAGAGCTGAGATGCCCAGAAACGCAGCACTCAACAATCTTAGGACGGCATTTCAATAATTCTGCGAGTCCTGAGATTGATGAGCCACGCATTCAGGTGAGGAACTGAAGTCTCATGGGTCAAATCTGGAAGGAAAAAAAGGGTCATTTTCACGGAAGGAGCAGAGCGGCGGCAGTTTATGCTTTTTAGTCACTTCCTTATCGTGATTGAAATTGTTAGTAATTAAAACAGTGCGACTGTAGTATATTCATGTGGGGGCCACATGCAGTCTCACTGTGATTTACCGTAAGTTGACAGACACTTTAAGAGAAGTGTCAACAGTTTTATTGACAATGAAATCACCAGCATTTTCTTGGGACTTACTTCCAAAGAAAATAATTCTAATCAATTGAGGGTGCTCAGAAAACCCAAAGCATTTCTCACAACCACTACACAGCTTAGGTGTGTCCCAGATGGGTTTTTCCTCCTGGGGACTCAATTCTCTTCATTCTGTAGGTGCGTTTGATGTTCTTGTCTTTCTTCTAAATTTTATTTCCTTAAGAAACAGACAGGTATTTAAAATCTATTCCAGAATCCCATGAGGACACTATTGGACAACATTAAACCATGGAGCTTACAAAAGTTAACACCGAGTGTTTGTATGTTGTTCTATGGCTCATAAAACCTATTTCCATCCATCATCTCATTTTCTTCTCACAACATGCCAGCAGTGATGTTACCGCTCAGAGCAGGTTCTATCAGGGGTTGTATCTGAGCAGTTTGCACCAGAAGTCAGCAAGTCCCTGGCCTGCAGGGTTGCTAAGTGTGCTCATCACCAATGTCTGTGTGGACTGTCCTGGCAAAGGAATTTCATATGCACCAGTCAGTGTTATTATGTGCAAGGGATATTTTCCATTGAGTTTAGCAACCTGCTGCACTTTTGGTCACACATCCCTATTTTTAAAAAAATATTTTATTTATTTATTTTTAGGGAGGGGAAGTGAGGGAGACAAGAGGGAGAGAAATATCAATGTGTGGTTGCTTCTTGAGCTCCCCTTACTGGGAACCTGGCCGGCAACCCAGCCATGTGCCCTGACTGGGTATTGAACTGGTGACCCTTTGGTTCGCAGGCTGGCACTCAATCCACTGAGCCACACCAGCCAGGGCCATCTCTATTCTTTTACCCTCCATTTTCCACTTTTCTCACCTCTCCATTTTTATTTTTATTTTCTAAAATGACCATGACAAGAGGGGTGCTGAGAGCAACAGGGGCTCAAAGCTGGTCCTTTCTCCCACTTTGCCTCGTGTTACCAAGATGCTCTCAGAGTGGCCATTTGGCACATCCCCTGGGAAAAATGAGGATGAAAGAGTATGAATGAGATGGTTATTAGATTGTATCTTACTTCCTACAAGTGCTGGTGAGTAAGTACATCATCAGCTCAGCAGTAGGAGTTCCTTTTTGTTCTAATACAGCTCATCATGGCCAGTAAGTAATTCTTGTGAGTTCCAACCTGAACCTCTGATCCCTGGCTCTACAATTGCCACACCCATTTCTTTCACTTGAGGCTATTGTAGCTTTCCAGCTTCTAGAGGGAAAAGGCTGGGAGCTCAGACCATACAATGCTAGATATGAGCATCTAGAACCAGAGTAAAAGCAGTAACTTCTGCTGAATTCTATAACCTTTTAGATATATCCACTTACTTTCTCCATATGATTCAGAACCTTTCTCATACCTACTGTGAGGATTGCCACTATCACATATCTGTTTCTATGGTAACGGGCAAGATTTCTCCATCATTCCAATTCCCTGTTTATAACCATCATGCTTTGTGTAGGCAAAACCACAAATGCATCAGAGTGGGAAAGACAGTTAAGCAGTCCCTGGGACTGCTTTGATGGCCATACAATTGAGTTCTGACAGGTTTTGATCAATGTGGGCAGGCAACTTGCTACCTGGCAATTCAAAAAGGGGGTATTGTGCCCTGGCTGGTGTGGCTCAGTGGATTGAGTGTTGACCTGAGAACCAAAAGGTCACTGGTTCAATTCCAGGTCAGGGCACATGCCTGGGTTTCAGGCCAGGTCCCCAGTAGGGGGAGCGTGAGAGGCAACCACACTTTGATGTTTCTCTTCCTCTCCCTCTCTTTCTCCTTCCCTTCCCCTCTCTCTAAAAGTAAATGAATAAAATCTTTAAAAAAGAAAGCAAAGGGAGTCTTGTAATAGCATCAGGACCATGGGGGCCAGATTCCAGTCCTGACTCAACCACAAACTGACCACAGAGCAGTTAATCCTTTTCTTCTGATTCTTCATCTTCTAAATTAGGGAACATTTTGTGTATTTTGTTTCTACTCAAGGTGTAACATTTTGATGAAGACAAATGAGATAATAAAGAAAGGTAACATTTATTGACTACATATGAGCAATGCACTTTGACAGTTGCTTTCCATATCTCAGGTAGTTCTCAAAACAATCTGGCAAAGTAGGTATTGTTAGGCTTATTTTACCAATGAAGAGATGGATTAAATAACTTGCACTAGCTCTCACAGCCCAGAGGTATTTTAAGGTAAGCTGAAACCTCAGAAAGATTCATGTTATTCTAAATGTGTTTTGAAAACTTGAAAAGAAATGTATATACTTCCAGTTTCTGGTTTGACATGGCGAGAATTTGGAAGTGGTCATTTCTATACTCAGAACAAGAAATAAGCCGAGCAAACTTAAAAATCACCTATTGTTAGATTAATCAGAGATCTGCAGTCAGAAGGCAAACTGCTGTTCTGAAAATGGAGAGACAGAATCACAGCTTACCAAGTGTAGAAGCCTGCAGGTAAAGCCAGTATCAGTAAGAACACTTGAAAACTGTAATGGAAAGATTGCTAGAGGCTCAGTATAGACTAGCTTAAGAGCTAAAAACTCCAAGGGGTCGAATCTAAGAGGGGCCCCCACACTTTGATGAGTTTTACCTTTCAGAGCCCAGCGGGTTCTCTGTGAAGACTGAAGAAAAATTTCCTTTTGCTTCTGTCAAGGGGTTCTGTCAATGGCTACTTCTGTGACCCTAGCTGGCTGGTGTGGCTCAGTGGATTGAGAGCTGGCCTGTGAACCAAAAGATTGCCAGCTTGATTCCCAGGCAGAGCACATGCCTGGGTTGTAGGCCAGGGCCCCAATAGGGGTCTTTCAAGAGGCAACCATACACTGATGTTTCTCTCCCTCTCTGTCTCCCTTCCTTCCCTTCTCACTAAATGATGTAACATGAGGGGTTAGGAAAAAAAAATTATAAAGAAAACAACAAAGTAGTCATTGTGAAGTATACCTGTACCTTCTCTCTATTCTCCTTAACAAGGCCTTGGAAAACTATCTTATCAGGGCTTGACTGGAATTCTACTGCAGCCTAGCTGACCTGGGGGGAGGGATAGGAAATACCCAACTTGGGCACAGGAAAAGACTGAGACCTAGCCATAGGACTACAGAACCCTAATAGGTCTCCTGTGTAACCAGGGTATTACAGCTAAAGAAAATCCAAGTCTCAGATCCTACTTAGAAGTTCCTAAGGACACTCAAAGACAGTAAGAGGAGGCTAAGACAAGAGCAATAGAAGGCATTTTAGCCTGTAACAGTACATCTACAGCAAAAAGTCAACACAGCAAAACTTCTACTCAGGTAAACATAAAACTTCCAGGCCTATCTACCTCAGTTACTTTTACCAAGTATATCATCCAACTTTCAGCCCAAAATGATAAGGCATACTAAGGGGTGAAAAAGAAACAGTCTGAAGAGGCAAACCAAGCATTAGAAGCAGACTCCGATATGGCAGATCATTTTGGAATGATCAGACCTGGAATTTAAAATAACTGTCATTAACATGCTAAGGGGGCGAAGGGAAAAATTGGATAATATGCACGAACAGATGGGTAGTGCAAGCAGAGAGATAAAAAAAGCCTAAGAAAGAATCAAAAGGAAATGCTAACCCATATAAATATAGTCAACTGATCTTTGACTAGGAGTAAAGAATACAATGGGGAAAGAGAGTCTTTTCAACAAATGGTGCTGAAACAACTGGACATCCACAAACAAAACAATGAATCTAGACAGACACCAGATAAGACAGAAACTGTCATAGTGGGTGAAAACCCCCCCCCAAACCTGCCCTTGCTGGTGTGGTTCAGTGGATTGAGACCTGGCCTGAAGACCAAAGGGTCACTGGTTTGATTCCCAGTCAGAGCATGTGCCTGGGTTGTGGGCGAGGTTCCCAGTAGGGGGTGCACAAGAGGCAACCACACACTGATGTTTCTCTCCTCTTTCTCCCTCTCTTCCCCTCTCTCTAAAAATAAAAAACTAAAAAAATAAATAAAATCTTAAAGAAAGCAAGAACCAACTATATGTTTTCCATACAAAACACACTTAAATATAAAGACACAAATATGTTACAGTAAAGGGGTGGAGAAAGACAAACTATGCTAATACTAATCAAAAGATACACACACACACACACACACACACACACACACACACACACACTTCAGATAAAGCTGACTTCAGAGAAAGAAAAATGATCCAGAATAAAGAGGGGCATTACATAATGATAAAGTGTTCAATTCTCCAAGAATATATAACAGTCCTTAATGTGTATGTGCCTGACAACAGAGTGTCAAAATTGTGAGGCAAAAACTGAAGAATGCACTGTTATAGTTAGAGACTTCAACATCCCTTGATCAGTAATGGAAATACCTATCAGGCAGAAAA